CCCACAAAATGTTGACCTTTCTCGTCTTTCTGACTTTCAGGAGGAGCCAGAAATCACATGGTTACCGTGACACTTTCACAAGCTTGATTTTCCACTGGATGACACCTGGCAGCGGCAGCCTCTGTATTTTTTATGCTGTTTTTTTTTTCTTGGTACCAGGGATTGAACTCGGGGCCTTACGCTTGCCAGGCAGGTACTTATGCCACTGAGCTATCTCCTTGATGATGCCTCCTAGAGACATTAAAGCAGGGCTTCCAGAACTGCTTCCAAAGGTGGAAAGGTTGATGGGATGTGTTGGAAGGAGCAGGAGAATTTTGAAGAGGATTAACAGCAATGTGTCTCTTAGTGTAACATAATTTTTTCAAATTTAAGGGCTGGCCAGATAGCTCAGCAGACTAACGCGCCTTCTTAGGCAGAGCGCAGTGGCCAGGGTTCAGTCCCCAGCATGCCATGCCCGCCCCAGCCCCTGGGGCATGCTGAGACAATTGAGACTGGGTATGGTGGCACATGCCTGTAATCCCAACACTTGGGAGGCTGAAAACAGAGGAATCAGAGTCTGATCTACATAATGAGATCAGACCCTGTCCTAAATAAAAAAAAATTAAACATGCACTATGTATTTTGATCATGCCATCTGCATTATTTTAGGAAATGAGATATAAAGAAGATATCTTATTTCAACATATACACATTATAATTTACCTTAAAGATACTTTATCTTTTATATTCGTATCTGTATTTGTGCATCACAAACCCCATAATCCTTTGGGTTTTAAGGTTTATCTTTCTTTCTTTTCCTTTCACTCTTCACACTTAACTGTCCCACTGCAGTGCCCAAACAGAACGAGCCCTCCTAGTCTACACTTTGCTTCTCTCTCCCATGGTCCTTGGAGACTGGCCCATACCAGGGTGCCAGAGAAGAGCACAAAGCACTGCCTTACTGGCCCTACTGCTTTCCCACTCAAAACCTTCACTGTCCTGAAATTCTGGAGACTAAGTTCCTTTCCCACCACTCACTTCTTCCTTCTGTCCTGTACCTTTTCCTTTCCTTTTTGCACCTCTTCTGTGTATTTCAGATTCCAGAGATTAGACTAAGCACTAGGAACAACAGACATGACCTTCTTTATACAGTGAGCTGCCCAGAAAGATCACACACAACTCGTTCATGTTTGTGTTCAGTGCCTCAAGTGCAGGGTTCCAACGCATGCTGAGGTGAGCTGTGCAGGTGGAGCCAAGGAACTGACCAGGGTTCCCCTCACGTGACCTACACTCTGGAGACGTCGAATACTTGTCACATATTTTCACACCTCCGTTTGTTGGCAGTGCTCACTCAGGCTATAATATTCCATCTCCATTGTTAAGGATAATCATTTTTCAAGGTTACTGAGGGCTTAATACATCAGACGCTGTGTGCGAGAGGACAGTCCCCATCACCACGGAGTTAAGGTCTGCTGGCAGAAAGATGATGTGTAAGAGTACAAATAAAATATGCTGGATATGGCGATACAGAACAAACCTAATTTAGTGGGAATACTTAGATGACATGCTCAGGATCAGCCTTTCATGTGAAGTTCACATTTACATGTTTCTAATGGTCGACAGTATATCAACTTGAGAACAGGAGCTTAGAAGCTTGACTAAAGCACCCAGCAGGGGGCTAGAAACCTCATTTGTAAATACCTTCAGCCAGCGCAACTGTGCATGGAGAAAGCTTGCTTAGAATAGAAGGAAGAGGCTCGCTTCCCTTCTTTTATTCTTGTTACTTATGTTATTTTCTGCTGGCATTACACACAGGACAGAGTGAGACTGTCTTTACAAAAAGAAAAAAGAAATCAAGAAAACCAGAAATCAGTGATTCTCACTTTACACTGCCCTTGCACTGCTAGATTTCCTGTGTTCTATCCAGCATGCCTCTAATTAGGGTAAGTTTCTGGAAGGGTTTTCTAATACTTCACTGTACCTTACTATCCAGCATAGTCCCTTTTGTAAAGGTTGTTACCCTTTGAAGGTTACCGTTTCTTCACATAAATCATTTTTAATCTCCCAAGGCAGGTGTTATCTTTGTTTATTGATGTGAAAACAGGATTAGGACAAAGAACTTGCATAGTCACAGATCAAAACCTATGGATTTCCACTTTTGCATGAAAATTCTGGTGATCTAATGACACAGCTGCTAGATTCCTGCTTGTCAACAACTAAGCTAGAGCTAAGTTACTTCCACTACATATTTTTCATTTTATATCCAGCCCAACTAGGGTCGATGAGATAGCTCAGCAGATTAAGCACCTCCTTAGGCAAGCGCAGGGACTGGGGTTCAATCCTGGGCACAACATGCTGCACTGGCCCCGTCTCCCAGGTGTGCTAAACTGACCACTGAGACCTGGCATGGTAGCACACACCTGTAATCCCAGTGCTGGGGAGGCTGAAAACAGGAGGACTGCTGCGAGTCTGAACTGCATAGTGAGACCTTGTGCCAAATATATCTAGCCCAGCTATTTATATAACCTCCCTGGTGGTCCTCCACAAACATCTGCATTTATAAACCTTGTATCATTCTAAACTTTATTTTATTTTTGGCAGAACCAGGGATTGAACTCAGGCCCTTGCACTTGCCAGGGAAGCGCTTATTCCACTGAGCCATTTCCCTGGCCACTGAGCCATTTCCCCAGCGTATCATTCTAAACTTTAAAACAAGAGTATATTACTATGTATTTTCATATCAACACAAGATATATGTATAAATGTGAATAGGATTCCCCACCACCACCCCGCCCTGGGATTAAGACAGTGTAGGGAGAAAAGGCAGTCCAAGAAGGCAGCACTATGGTTCAGGCTGCATTTGTGGGGGGAGGGGGGGGAGATTTCCACTGGACAGTAAGTGTCGAGTCAGTAGAAGCCCAGCTGCAGGGGCACGTTTGGGTCTCTTTGTAAACAGCCATATAATCAGAATTGATACTGGCATGCAGCAACTCTTATGCGCCACTGCGCAAATCTACACTGCACAAAGGTCTCAGGTCTAAGCAGCTGGGGACTAGAGAGAATTGCAGGAGCAGCTCCTTACCAAAAGCAGCGCCTGATGGAAAGACGTCGAATCCAGTCTACAGCTCTGCATCTCTGCTTCAGCCTGAACTGGTGACGAGTCACACAGAAAGGCTACAGATCAAGTCACCCTTTCCTAGGGTTTCCGTTGAGACTATGAAACATACGTGTGGAAAAAAGAAAAAAACATTCCAGAGAGAGAAGAGCACTGATGAATATTAGCGCTGGGATTAAGGGCATCTGGTTTGTATTTGACAACTGGGTTAGCTGAGGTTGGAATCACGCTGTGGAAAGTTGTAAGCGCCATGATGAGGTTTTGAGGTTTTCTTCAGCAGTTACGAGCAGCTTTCCACAAAGGAAGAAAAACGCATATCATAAAACTGAACTATTATGGCTTATTTTTTTTTTTTTAAGGCAGCAGCAGCAACTAAGACAAGGTCTACTTACTTCAAATGAACTTCAGTTTGGGAGTGTATTGCTTCTCCCAACACATTTCCAGTTTCATCCACCACAGCTGCTGCTGTGTCATCACAACTGGTTTCAATTCCCAGGACTACTTTATGAAGAAACCGTGTTCCAGGGGAAAAATTAAAACTTCTTAGAAATGCATAAATTTTGCTTTTTGATGGTTTAGAGAAAACTCTTGCTGTCTTATTCAATATTAACATACTTCCTATTCTAAAGGGTAATTCCTGGAAAAGAATTACAAAAAGAAACATTATATCAAGCTGATATTTGGGATTAGCCTTTTCACTTAAAATAATGAATACCATTTGACTTTTTTTAAAAAAAATTGTAGTATTAGGGATATTAAGGCCTTGCACCTGCTAATCTACCTCTGAGTCAGCCCCCCCTTTTTTAATATATAGAATATTTTTAAATATATAGAAAATATTTATGTAACTATAGGAAGGTTTATAAAAATCACCAAATTTTTATAAAGGCCCTCAATATAAATAACACAATGAATGAACAGAATGCATTTCAAAGGGCAAAAGTTGTAAAACTGGTTAGTATTACAGGCTGAGCATCCCTGTCCCATACATTTGAAACACTCCAAAACCTGCAACTTTTCTAGTAGCGCTATGGAGCTCCAAGTAGAAAATGCCACACCCGCAACAAGCACAAGAATGTTAAAAATAGTACTGTATATAAAATTACCTTATGACTATGTGTATGAGGTGTATAAGAAACATAAATGAGCTGGGTGTGCACATGCCTGTAATCTCAGCACTCAGGAGGCTGAGGCAGGCGCATCGCCCCGTAGTTCAAGGCCAGCATGCACTACATGGCTAGACTCTGTCTCAAAAAAAATCTCAAAAAACCAATAAACAAAACATAAATGACTTCATATTTAGATATGGGTCTCATCCACAAGCTATCTCATGTATATGCCAATATTCCACCCCCGCCCCCTGCGCACACATTAAAAAAATCTGAAACACTTCTTGTGCCAAGCATTTCAGTTAAGGGAGGCTTAACCTGCACTGTTACTTAAAAAAAAAACAAAAATTGTAGGCTGTTCTTACCGAACTATTTATCATTCTTTATAAAATAGGAATTCTTGTAGTACAACAGATGCATGGATAACTCTCAGGAAAGGTTTTTTCTTTTTTTTTATAATTAAGACACAATGTGAAAATACAACAAGTATTGTATCTCATTTCCTGGAAATGTTTTTCAAAATAAAGTTTAAACATTTGGCTTTAGAAAGTACATACAAAACACATATGCAATCAGAGAAGATTAAATCTTAGTTTAGAAACAAGTCTTCTCGTACACCCCGTCCTAAACAGCGAGGAAAACCACCGCAAGTCTACCTAACGCTATTCCTTAATTACAACCTTTGGCATCCTTGACACAGGTTTATCGGGATGCAAAACGTTCCACGCCTCCCCGCTCCTCCCTCCGCAAAGGGCGATGCGCCACTAAACCACCTTAGTGTTTCACACTGCGCAGGAGCTGCTTTCCCTACCACATCAGTGGTCAAAATTAGGGGACTGGAGCCGGCAGCTGCGAGGAGTGCAGCCCAACAGCTGCTCCACAGGGGTCAGGTTTGCAGCAGCATTTTCCTTCCGGACCAAGAACTCTCTGGGGTGAACCAAGTGACTTGGGCAGTGCTGGTCTTTCTGTCTGCTTTAGGAAGGCGCAGGATATACTAGCCCAAGGGGAGCAATTCCACCCACTTTCTTCGTTTAAAGAGCCAGGCAAGCTCGCCTACCTTCCCTGGCAAAGACGTCCCACTGCCTGATCTCTGGCGCAGGAAAAGTGCGCACTTGGCGCGCCGGAAGTGACGCCACCAACAGGAGCTGGCGCCTCAGGGGCGGAGCTGGTTACCATAGTAATACACGCTTTGGTCTAACACGCTTCATATGGGTTTGCGCAAGTCTCCCGATTTCTACAAAGCCACACAGCTAGTGACTCACTCAGAAGAGCTGAATTCCGGTTTGTCTGAACGCACGGCATTAACTTCCACCATGCGATGTATTGTTTTAAAATAATTGTATTGAGAAACAAATAGCAATGAGATAGTTTCAAAACCAATTACTAGCACAGTTTCAATAATTAATACATTGCATATTGTTGTCTTAGTGGTTATTCATAGTACAAGATGCAGACATGGGATCCTATCAACAAACACTATTAGAACAAATCTCTCTATTCACTGAATTAAGAGAATGCAGCTGTATATCTATCCTATTTTGAATATAGATACAAAATGGTGGTTGATTTGTATCCCTTTTTTAGCTTAGTTTTGTCGGAGGATATTCCATTGTCATTTAAATACTGTAGGTGCGTGAATTCAACAAAATATGCGCTACATTTTAAAGTGTTTTGGTTTGGAGATACTGTACTTAATAATGTAAACTACCTTGATCAGGAAATTCCTGAGGAAGCTAGGAATGTCCAAAGCTGCATAGGAGTATTAGACAGCAGAAGTGCTTCAGGGCTGACAGTCTGAACCGGAACGCCCGCTTTACCTATATGGAGAATATCTGAAAAATGTGTTTTTCAAAATAAAACTGTCACTAGAAATCTAGAGTTGTGCAACTGTAGTCAGGAAAAATTCCTTTATATTAAAAGTTGGTTTTATATGGGCCTATAGTTTCAATGATTCGGTTTCTTTACTATAGTTCTTAAATTTGTGATAACTTTTATAAACAAATATGTAGAATACAAGAACAGTTAACACTTGGCTTATCTGCTCAACTTATAATCAGTGGAACAGTGGCTGAATCACTATCGTAACCATTGTTTATCAAAAGCTTGAATAATGAGTCAAGATATGGAAAAAGTTACATTACTACGCTGACTAGAAAGTCCAAATGTTCTTACTAAACCTTTTCTTCTAACTATATTTGATTATGAAAACAGTACTGAAAATAATGTAAACAACTTTGGTGAGCCCCACACCCACTTACGAGATGAAATATTTAGTAGACTTGACGTGGTATGTGTATTAAACACCCAAGATATTTGGTATCTTGAATTCGATATTTATAATGCATATGCATTCATTTGTGGTTAAATAGAACATTTTAAACACATTTAACACACGATTTGTTGAATTTTTTTAAATAGAACTGAAATTGAGTAAAATAAAAAAAATGTGATGTCATAATGGGGGGGAATACATTATATGGGATTGAACATAGGGCCGTAGGCAAGCTAGGCAAGCACTGTAGCACCAAACTACATTCTCAATCCTTTTGAGATAGGATTTCACTGAGTTTCCCAGATACTCTACTGCTTCTTCAGTCTCCTGAGTAGCCAGGATCACAAGATGTGCATCATCCTGCCCAGCTGGCCTTTCTTAAAACTGAGGCCAAATGGAGAAAAGTATCTTTGGGGCTAGGGAGACAGTTAGGTAGTATAAGTGCCTGCCTGGCAAGTACAAGGTCCCGAGTTTGATCCCTGATACAAAAAAAAAAAAAAAAAATAAAAATCAAGAATGCTTCCCATGGCACTCTTCTAACACTTTGGGTATTTTACTTAGGTTTGTCTTCCCAGGACATGTAACACATGATTTGTTGAATTGTTTAAGAGTACGTTTACTTTTTATTTTTATTTTTTATCTTTTCCGTATTTAGGGCAGGGTCTACAGGGTGTTTAGTGTCTCATTATGTAGATCCAACTCCTAGTGATTCTCCTGTTTACAGCCTCCCAAGTGCTGGGATTACAGGCACATGCCACCATGCCCAGTCTCAACTGATGTCTCAGTGCACCCCAGAGGATGGGGCCCACATGGCATGCTGGGAATCGAACCCCGGCCGCTGAGCTCTGTCTAAGCAGGTGCTTGAGTCTGCTGAGCTATCAGGCCAGCCCTTTGTTGAATCATTTTTAAGTGGAACTGAAATTAAGGAGTAAAATAAAACCCTCTTGCATCATAATTGGTAGTCTGGGGGGAAGTACTGTTTTGTAAATTACTCCTTTCCGTCCTCTTAAGACTTAACCTGCACCGTCTAAACCACGATGCTGTATTTGTTTTCTTCATAAACAGAATCTGAGCCACCTTCACTGGTTTCATGTATCAACATTGGAGACATGTTACATGACAATGGAGATTTAACTTTAGTTACACAAAGTGAATCAATGGTAAAATTCATCAAGATGGGCTGAGGAGATAGCTCAGAGGTCTAAGCGCCTGCCTGGCAAGCACAAGGACCCAGGTTTGGATGTACCAAGCTGGCCACCAAGACTGGGCATGGTGGCCCAGGCCTGTAATCCCAGCACTGGGGAGGCTGAAACAGGAGGATCACTACAAATCCAAGCTGTGTAGTGAGACCCTATACCAAATACATAAAAAAAAAAAAAAAAAAAATTCCATCAAGAATAGCTTCCATCAGAAATAGACTTTGGTTTAATAAATCCACTTAATAAGAATATGAAAGGAAAGCCATCAATTAGCTCTACATGCTTAAGAGCTAAGATTTTAGTGACCATAAAGGGAATCAGTAATATGTGACTGTCAAAACAGCTCAAGCAGTATGAGGCTGCATTAAAAAGTAAAAAAATCCAAAATAAGTGAGGTGGTACTGGAACACATCACCTATTTTATAATAAAGAATAAACCAGAACCTACAGCACTGTTAGAATGCAGAAGAAATTCGAAACAGTACGGCATAGAAAACTAAGGTCATAGTAATACTGTTGCTATCAATATCTTTAAATAGTGTAGAGTTACAAAGAGCAAGAAGTAAGATTTTGGCTCAATGTAAAAATGATAAATTCCATTACCAAATGGAACATGCTGTCTTACAGCTGTAAATTAGTGTTAAAACAGAACCAAATGGGGACGGTGGTGGTTTAATGTAGGGTGTTGAGTTAGATGGTCTCTAAGGGCTTTTCTCTTACCAATAGATAAATAATATTATAAAGCTAATTTATACAAATATTAAGGAGATGTTGTGATAACCCCAGGACTGTTGTAGTTTAAAATGTATACAATAACACCAAAAACCTAAAGAACAAAAAAGGACACAAGAGCCAACTGGGAAGAACTCCCATTGACCCCCCGAAGGGCAGTTCAACAACAAATTAACAACAATAATGATTATAACTCAAATAACAGCACACATGGGTCTATAAATGAATGGAGGAGCAGAGCCAGATCTTTTGTACAGGATAATTCTAGTAAATAAAAATAGAAATGAGAAATAGAAAATCATCATTGACACTAGTAAAATATCACTGCAAAAAAGACCTACTGATGGATGCTAAAGCCAGTGGTATCGCTAGGCTCATGCTATTTAAATTCTCACTTTGTCTGACACACAGTAGCAATATAACATGGTAATATCTTTTATTCCAAGTAATTATGACTTTAAAATACCTTTTAAAAAACCTATATACATTGGTGAACTAGGAAAGCTTCCATACGTAGCACAAACTTTACCTACATCCTGAGGCCAAAGCCCAGGGATCACTTTCACTCTCCTGCTGTCCCTGTGCAGTGCATCAGTGACTTGTGAGCTGTATTTGCAAAGGAGATCCCAACCCAACATCTGTAGGAGACACTTCCAGGTCCTCATCTCAGTCCAAGAAGCCAATATTTGTAATCCCAAAGTTACATTATTGGAATCCCATCAAGTTGATTCCAACGTACCACTCCCAGTGCAACCCACGGCAAAAGTAGACATTAAAACATATTTATAATTATTGGGGAGCCAAGGGGCCCTAAGTCCAGCCACAAAGATGGCTTTCTGGAACCAAGAGAGCAACCCAGGGCCTCACCCGGTTTTTATTCAGTGGGGGAGCGGCTTGAGGAATGACCGAGAATTGTGGGAAGTAGGTGACTACTATGAGCTGAGCTAGGTGTATGGCCTATATTTACCTCTGCCATATGCAGAGAGTAATCTGCTTTATGCTAATGATAGTACCTACATTTTGGAGGGTCTGGTGCTTCAGCTTTGATGTAGTCTTTCAAGCCCCAGGAAGTCATAGCCTCCATGGCGGCATGCAGCATTGGTTCTTTGTTCTGTCTCAGAAGGCTCACATTAAAGAGCAGCAGGTGTAGGTTACCAGGGAAACACACACACACCGCCTTCAAAGACTATCACCAGCACCTCAGCTAGACCAATATACATTGCATAAGGCCAACTGAAGGATAAACAAAGTCCTAGCCAGGGTCAGGTTCAGTCAAAATGGAAACAGTTGCTCTTCTTTCAGAGCTGTGCAGGTGGTCTCCACAAACATCAGCTGCTTCCCCAGTCCAAGCTTGTCCTTGCCTGCAGCACCCTCCCAACTATACTTCCCACTTTCTATTCCCTTACTTTATCACCAACATTAGCCAGTGATTTTTAAAATAAAATCCCTTTAGTCTTTTGTATAAAACTCTCCAATGGCTTTGTCATAGAGTAGAATCTTTTATCTTCATCTTTAAAGCCTGTTATGATCTGGCCCCTACTTATTTCCT